CAAAAAGTGCCAAGCTAATCAAAACCAAATTAATTGAAATTAAAAATCTTTGGAGAATAATGTAATCATGAAATTCAAAAGAAATTAAAAATGATTTTTAAGACAATTTTTTAATAAAGAGTTTTAAAATATTTAAAAAATATTGGTTTAATTAAATTTTTAAAAATAAATCTTTTGCATAAATAATTTTTCTGCAGATATTTTTTCTGAAAAAAAGTCTACGATATATATTTCATAAGAAAAGAAACTAAAAACTTTCCAACTATATTTTAGTTTTATTGCATTTTATATTTTCTGATTCAGGACAGATTTTCTACATTTTTGCTTAAAGCTTCAAATAAAATTTCAACTGATTTAATTTCTTCAGGGACCAATCCAAATGATTATAAAATATCATTTGGATTGGTCTGTGATAGAGACTGCATTAAATTAAATAAAGTGGAGTTAATGGAGTTAAAAAAGTATTTCTCCAAATAATTTTTTATTTATGAAAAGATAACATTTTCATAAATAAATCCACTTACAAAACACTGAAAATTTTAGTGAAATTCAATAATGATATAATTTTTGGTTGATTTTATTTAAAAATCTTGGTATGGTTGGCCCTTTTATATAAAAAATGTGTACACATGCTCAGTGGACCCTACAGGTTAAAAACAGAGTACGATAGAAAAATTATTTTATTAAAACTAATTAATTCTGAATTAGCTTTTAATGAGCATGCTAATTGAAATTTTCGGCATGTCATTTGATTTTTTGGGGGGTAGAAAATTGTGAGCTTATTAATTGAAGACATGCTAATTGGAAGTACATTAATTGGAGATTTATGCTACTAATGAAAATTATTTTGTGATCCATTAAAATATATAACTGGTATTTGAATATTAAAACTTTCCCAATAAACACCACAATTAAAACCTAAGTGCCCTAAGTGCTATTAAATGACAAAAATGAAATTCTCACATTTGCCTTAATAAAGTCCCTCAGAGGACAGCTAAGATAAATTTTCCTTTTGCTTTTATTCATATTGTCCTTTCATAGATATACTCTATCTGAAATTTTTACACACACACATATATATATATAAGGTATTTCAAAAATATGCATACACATTTTGAAGCATTCTCAAGGAACAATTCAAACAACTAGAACTAAGTATATCTAATTTAAAAAAGCATATGAAGATAGTATTTATTATATATATATATATATATATATATATATATATATATATATATATATATATATATATATATATATATATATATATACTGATGCATGTTTCATTAAATAATATAGACAAGTTTTGTCTATTTATTTTATGTAAATTCTTTTCATATCGTCTGATAAGCTTAATAACATTATCATTAAAAGATGAAAGAAAATCACCATATTGATACATATTTTTTAATCCTATCTAAGCTTTCGGCTGACATGTCATTATCAAAGATGACAATTACATTACAATATATTAACCAATACACGGACAAAACAATTTTGATAGTCTTTTTTTGTTTGCATGAAAGATTTCCAAGCAATGACTAACTCGTGCATACAAGATGCTGGAAGTATGTGTGTTGCTTGTTTTTGATTTTGTTGACTGTACAGTATAGTAGGGTCAGTTGGGCACTGTCTGTGAGAAAAAGAGCACCATGATGCAATTCACTCTGCCAGAAATTTCGAAATAGCATGCTGTACTGCTTGGCATTCACACTAGAATCTCCAATATGAACATTTCAGAGTGTTTGAGTGCCAATCTGAGGACAGTGCAGAAGATTTGGAAAGAGTTGAATTAGTCTAATGGTGATTACAACGGTACAGTAGCTCGGAAAACTCACTCTGGTCATTCTGATAAGAAAAGAACTCTTGAATTTGTTGGTTAGATTCAGGCCATGATTTAAAAGTCAATCAAGTCCATAACCAGGGAAGTAGTACTACCCTAGGTCAAGAGGGTGGCTGCTGGAAGACCCTGGCAACAGGACTCTCCACCATGCCACACAAGCAGGAGAACCCAGTCATGCCTGTCAGACAATTTCTGTGACCACATCACTCTTACATCTGGCCAGCTAACTTTCCAAACAGCGACCCCCTTGATTATTATGCATGGGATGCATTTGAGTGAGAGATCAACAAAACTCCTTGTAGCACCAAAGATGAACTGGAGGCAAGGATTCACCAACTTAAACAAGGAGATCATCCAGAAGAATTGTAGGAGATTCCAAAGCCATCTGGAGGTGTGGTCGACGCCAATGGCAATTTTATTGAATAAATTTACTAATTTCTTTAGTATTTTTGAAGGTATTCTTGTGCAATTTAGAAGATAATTTATCCATCACACTCTGTACATATATATTTCTAAAGAATTGATGAATTTATTTTTAAACTAACATTTTTATTATCTCAAATGTTATTATAGTGGATACTCATATTTGAAAAAGACTCCCCACATTTAATATTTTATTTTAAACAATGTGTACTACATCTAACAGTACAGTTGAGAAATTTTAATAAAGAAGGGGAATGCAGGTTCAATCCCTGCCAGAGAACACATTTTCTTTATTATGATTTCTTGTATTTGCAGGCTGATAGACACTGTTTAAAATAAAAATAAAAAAAAATAAGTATTTCAACTATGAGTAACTGCTATAATAATGTTTGAAATAAATATATATATATATATATATATATATATATATATATATATTACATCCACATGTGAAAAGGTTTAAAAATAATGGAAGCATTAATAATAAAAAAGAAAAAGCCAATGCTCAATAATATCAACTATGAAGACGGCCACAACACACTGACCATGTTTGGAAAATAAAGTAAATATTCCCATTACTATAGATACATATATAAAAATCTACATATTAAGTTAGAAATAAAAAAAGTCATCTTTGATAATAAAGTAACCAAAAGCACTTGAATATAGAAGAACATTTGGACAGTTTTTACACATTTTATGTCCAGAAAAGAAAATACTTGTACAAATTGTAAGAAAAATTTAGTAAAAATCTTAATCACAGTACTTTTCAGTCATCTTTAATGAAACTTGTATAAAAAGGGATTGCTGGCCAAATACACAGTGTGTGTGTATATATATATATATATATATATATATATATATATATATATATATATATATATATATATATATATATATATAGAGAGAGAGAGAGAGAGAAAAAATGATTTATATTTTACATATAAATGACACATGAAATTTAGATGCATGTTTTTCTTAAAGTTAAATGTAAATTAATATTAAAATAATAATTTAGCCTCCAAGCAATTAATATTTACTACATTACACACTGAAACAGTGTCTACCTCTATCAATAGATGGAACTGCCATAGTCTCCTTGTTGTATGTAGAACAGAACAGTATGTTCAAATACTTTAAATTTGTTAAGATTTCTCAGGAGAAATTTACGTGGTAAATCAAGATCAAGAGTAATCCTCAACTAATTTCATTTGGCTTTATAAAATTTAAATAAAATATTAGAAAAAATATATTTCTACTTGACAATGTATAATATAAAGCTGCTTTAAAAAAATGTTGTTAAAGTTCTTTTTTTGTCATGGTTGTCTTTGAGTGATTTATAAAGAGTTAGTCTGAAGTAGCTTTAGGAATTGCACTATTTGTGAGGAATAAAGTTAAATCTTTTCTGGAGTCATGGGTTATTTCAGAAGTACTCTTAAGTTCAATCTCCATTGAATGATGATGAAAATGCTTCATAGAGAAATAAGAATGACATAATAGAAAAATCTTACATGTTTCATCCTTCGAAAGGACTGTTTCAGATTAATAATGATTTCAGAGATGTAATCATATATATAAGGGGAGGGAATAAAAAACAACAAATGCTGGTTACAATTCTACATAGAAAAATGCTGAAAATACAGGGATGCTTAAATTTAAATTTAAATTGTAGAATTGTACTGAGCATTTGTTGTATTTTGTTCTCTCCTTTTAAATAAGATTCCATTGATAAAAAATTTATTAGCCTGAAGATGTCCTTTTGAAGGATGAAATGTGTAATATAAGATTTTTTCTATTTTGTCATTCAAATAATCACAATTAGTCTGATATATAGAGTTATATATGATATCTCCCATAAGTAAGAAAGTAATTTCATTTATCCTTTCATTCTTTTGTCATATTTTTAAAAATCATTTCACCCAAAACAATGCAATAATGTCACTAAGACACAAGGGGTTATTGGGAGTGAAAGAAAGTAAGAAGACTTTAGTGTAGAGAAAGGACAATAAAAGAACAGAATTTAGGAATACAGAAGATAGATTGGCATTGCATTTAAATTTTTGTTCATTTTAGGTGGCAATGAAGCAAAAAACTGTAATAGAGTTCCACAGGCAAGAAGTGTCAGAAAAGAAACAATTAGAATAGAACATACAGTTGTATCTAGTTAGTTTAACAGTGAAATGGTAAGACGTAGTAGTACGCTTAAATTCATGCAGATGATACACCAAACAGGAAAGCTCATCAGAACTCATGAAAATATTTGTAGAAAATCGACAGACTTGGTCTCTCCAGTATCATTTTGTCATGGTAAAATAAAGTTCAGTAAAATATGATAAATTTACCAACTTGAAAATAAGAGTTCATGTAAAAATTGTAATGTCTTCTTTAATGTCCATCCATAAAACTGTACAACATTCTGTACTTTTGGCATTAAGAATCTTGCATTTCCATCATCTAAACCAAATCCAATATGTCCCCATTTTAATGAGTGCTGTTAGAAGTTTATACATTAATGATAAAAAGAAACTTAGGCACACTTTCTTTGTTAACCAACCAACTATTGATCCTTTATGGTCAGAATGTGGGCACCACATGTTTAACTTCATATCATTTCACTAAAACAGGTCTAAATTTTACTCTGTCTTTTTGATAAAACTCTGTTGGTCTGGACCTGAAATTTATCTTCTTAAAGATTTAACACCGTCACAATATGAAATTTTGACCGTTGTTGGTATTAAAAAGTTTTGCTTAACCTTCGGCACAGAGATTGGTATTGGTTGAAAATGGAGTCTCGTCTTTCTTGGCTGTTGGAGGAAGCTCGTTTGTTTATTTGGTAGTAATTCTTCATATAACTATATGGTTTGGCAACTTTTGTAATTGGACAGATTTCTTGCAAGGGCTCATTGGTCCACATTTTCTAAAAGAAAATAAAAAATATACATATTATGTACGTTTATTGTTGGAATATTACCTAAGTCTTTACTCTCTTCTCTTTCTTTGTTTCTCTGTGGTTATCATATGAATATTTGGCAAAAAAACATATTATGAAAAGTTCTCAGCCCACTCACAAAAAAAAATATTCTGGTGGTGGGTCATTAAAATACAGATGTTGGGAAATGGGTTGGGCTGAGACCTTTCCAGCAACCTCTCATATGTCTTATATGTCAAATACCATACTTGCCATCACTATCAGGATGCTGAAGGTAGCATCAATCAGCTAAGTGACAAACTTTTACTCACATTAATCATATATATATATATATATATATATATATATATATATGTGTGTGTGTGTGGGTGTGGGTGAAAGAAAGTGAAATTGGATTAAATTTTGATAATGGAAAATATATAAGACAATTTTTAAAAAATTTGCCTTGACATGTTTCACTGATGAATGTCAAGCCAAAATTTTTTCACAAATTGCCTTATATATATATATATATATATATATATATATATATATATATATATATATATATATATATAGCTCTTAAAAAGAGTGCACACCAGAAAGAAAAAGTGCTCAGCATTATATGAAATGGTAGAGCTTTTCTAAATTAAGAATCACCTTTCAGGTATACAGAGTCCAACCACTACTATAAAAGTTTCATGCGTAATCGTCAGGCAGTTGGCAGCTATAATGCAAAAATGGGAACCTTTATTCATCCAGTCAAGAAAAAGAAGTATATATATGGATGGTGCATGCACCAACCAATCTCAGTCTATATTTATATATATATATAACCCAGCCAGTAAGTAGTAATCACATCTGAGCAGCAACTGTCAAATGAGCCATGACCAGATTCAAACAGAACTGTGATCAGAAGTGGTTGTGTAATCAACAAACCAGCATGTTACACAATCACATAAGCATATGGCTACAATAATGCCAAATGAACATAAGGGTAGTTTACCCCTGTGATAGTTCACAAAATATCCCATAATGTTAATTAGTAATATTAACTTATTCAAGAGGGTAGATGTGATGTATTGAGTAAATACAAACCACATTATTTCCCTGAACCCATTCCCTTATTAACCAATCAGAATTGCAATAAAGATTTGCTGCAGGTCAGTCATCTCCCCAATTGTAATGGTGTCCAGCAAATTCAAATGTTAATCATGTTCAACTTATTTCTTTAGATGTGTACACCAACATTATATCATAACAATTTCTATGGTGCCCCCTTTCCTTGGTGCCCTAAATATGTGCTTATTTTGCTTTAGTTGGCAAAGTCTGGAGCTTAAGTGACACTTGGGACATTTTTGCTGCTACTTTGGTTTTTTGCCACAACAAACTACTGGACAAGATCTTCCTTTCAAACAGTGCGAATTCCATCTGACTCAAAATCTTTATTACTCTAACCATCTCTCTCCCATCCCTCTTGTAACAGCAAATACAAAATACAAAAAACAAAATAGCAACAAAAATTTCTTCTTCAAAGTGACAAGGCATCTGATACAAAAATTGACAGAGGAAAAATTGGGTGAGCTTAAATACAGCTCCAGGATTGAACCATTTTTGACCAGTAGGGGTGCCAAGCTTCTTGTTGGTAATTTAAATTTCTATGTAAATCCAACACCTCTGACTACCAACTCTTGCCTACCACCACTATGCTTATTCCTCCATTATGATATATGGCTTGTCACCAGCCAACAGATGGTTTCTTAACTCCCTAACCCATGGTTTCCTTCTGACATGCCTTAGCCATTACTATGGCTATATGGGCCCATGATAGGAATTCCATACATTCTGGCCAAATGGCACTTGATCCTGAAAGTTTTTATTTATTTATTTGCTTCATTTTCTTTTCTCCTAGTTGGGGACAGCACTTGATTATTTTGAAGTCCTCATTTTGAGACTTTACTTTTGGTTGTCATAAAATCAGGCCCAGATAATAACATTTAAGGTCCACTTGACATTGTGGGTGTTTTAAGGGGAACTCGTTGTATCACACAAATATTGTTATTCATAAAACATATCAAGGAATTTAATTTAGCTTTTTAGAACTTGGATCAGAAATAAATTTTATACAATGATCAATCCAGGAAACTTAAATGGTAGCATATCACTACTCTATTGCTATTTCCATTAAAAGTGTTCAGATGAACTACATTCCTTAGTTCTACAAGTTCTAATTTTCACAGCTAAGAACCACCATACCATGGTAGCAAACCACCCTGATTCCCTTCATATTCCATTAGTGAGATGTAAGTTTCACGCAAGCAGTTTCTTTCCATAAACTGCTGCTTTATGAAACTGACTCCTGAGAGAATGCTTCCCTGATCACTAGAATCTTAACCTCTTCAAGTCCAGGGTTAACCATTATCTTCCCCACATATCCACATATACTATGCCTCTTACTTTGTAACCCACTACCTTGAGTGGTTCTTGGGCCTTATACAGGGTGAACATCATTGTAAAAAAATATATCATCTTGAAAATAAATGTTATACAGATCTGCCTCTTTGCATCATGTACATTTTTTTTAATCAGGCAACAAAGCTACTAAAACGCAGGGGGTTACTGAATGTGAAAGAATTTAAGAAAAGAAAAACATTTTTAATGAGCAAGAACAATAAAAGAACAGGAATTGATAGAAAAAATTCTATGCCTGTATTTAGTGGGTGCTTGTATTTGATCCAATTCCATAGAAAGGCTGCTAGAATTTTGAGTAATACTTGAATGCCATTGGTTATGCAAACAATTAATTTGAAAAAGAATTTTGCTTACATCACTTGATTCCTGAGTCCATTGCAAAACTGGTTCATCATCACCATAGAAACCACTAAAACTCAGAATCAGAGGTTTTTCATCAATTCTGTTGAAAGAAAGCAAAATAAAGGAAAATAATTTAATTAAAAAAAAGAATAATCATTGTATTATTTCTTTTATGTTGTCTTATATAATAAAAATGGATATTTTAGAGATGATATCATTTATCTGTAAGCTTGTGAATCTTGGATATTAACAGCAGAATTACAGCAAAAAATCCAAGCACTAGAAATGAGATTCTACTGAACCAATATAATCATCTCCTATGTAGACTGCATAAAAAATGATGCAGTGAAAGACATCATCAAACAAGAAATAGTCTCATTGGAAAACCTCATAGTCATCATCAAGAAGTTAAATCTGTTGGCAATGTTTAAAAATTGTGTGTCAAAAGGATGGTTATTCCCTTGACACCATTTTTAATGTATACTTTTTTATTTTATAACGTACTAGCAGTATAAACCGTCTTTGACTGGGTCTTTCATTACTGGGAATTTTTGCCGTTCAATTGGAGTAGTTTAAATTTAAAGTCAGCCCACCCAAAAATCAATATTAGTAACAACATTTGGATGCAACTGAGGCACATTCCCAAATGGGAAGTTAACAATTTGAATTGGGGGTGGCCATGAAAAGGGAACTGTATAATAATAAATAGTATTGTAATAATTTAAACTTTTTATTAAAATTTTTATGAAAGATATATATCCAAGAACAGATAGTAAATAGCAAAACGTTGCTGAGAGTTATAATGGACAGGAAGTAGTGGAGAGCCATTGTCGTCAACAATTTGGACTCAAAACCAGCACTGAAGAATTATCTATCAAACAAAAAAATTTCATCAAAATCGGATGAAAACTGTGGAAATGCATAAACAACATCTGATCACACACACATACATACACACACACATTTTGAAAATTATAGATATAGATAAAGATTTTATTTTTACTAATTTAAAAATGTTAATCATCTATGTTGTTTTTTTTACTACCTGTTCTTTTGAGATAAATTTATTTTTATGAAGGCCAGACAGTTTGTGTAAAAAAAATGTTATACTTATACCTATAAGTATATAGGTATGTTATACCTGTACTTATAAGCCACCAAAATTTGTGAAGGATCCATTTCCAGTTTATGAAAAATTATTTTTTTTGTATATACTAACCAAAGTGAGTTATGATCTCAAGCTCTAGTAACAACCTGAAAAATGGGGTAGGTCTTGTGAGCCTAATTTTCCAAATATATAGAGCTCAGGTCAGTAGACGCAGGGAGAAGACTTTTTTGACAGCCAGGGGACTCAAATCAATATTAAGGAGCAAGAAGGCTTTTAACATCAAGAATAGAGCATCAAGAAGGCACCAGTTACCAGTCAGCTGCAGAGAGACTAAAGAATTTTGAAGTTCGTGAAAATTCTCCTGAGATGCTTGTGGGGCAAGTAAAAGGAGAGGTTTTCATTTTTCTCAAAGGTGATTGCATCTTTGTTTGACTACAGCCTCTTGAATTGTTTGCTCATATTGTCCTTTTCAAGATCCTTATCTTTTCCCAAATTGTAATATTTTCCATTTTTTGCTGGTAATCTTTTTTATCAGAAATTGTTATCCTGCCTTAATAGGTGCACAAAAGGAAATTTTTATTCAAACTTTGTAATTGTACCTTTTCGTAATTGTGCAATAAATGTATTTTTCCTTTAAATTTTTTTTATAAAATTACCAATTTATAAAGAAATAAAATATGAAAACAATTTTTTATTCATAAATTTATAAACATTTATTAAAATATGTGAACCAACTATAAAGAAATCCTTATTATTTGCCATTTTATAAAATTTGAATTGATTGGTAGTTAGCTGATGTTTTGTCAATCATTCCAAACAGTAAACAATATAATAAATAAATAGTGTTTATTATTTTTGTTGACAATTCTTAAGAACAAAGAAAATGTATAAATTCACTTTCATATGTTTGGATTTCTTTAAAATTTTAATTGTTACTTTTTAAAACAATAAACATTGCTGAGGGAGTGAATATAGTTAAAATAATAGTGGTATCAATGGCAAAAAAACATCATTTTGACACTGTTTTTTGTGGTCATGAAGGCCAAAGTTTGCTGATTTGTTTTTGTATGGCTTATCAATAGATACTGCAGATTATTTAAAGCTGAAATATTTTGGGTTGTAAGAATTCTTATTTTTTTTGCAAGTGAATATAGGCATTAACAGTTTTTTTTGAGAATTCCAAATAAAAGTCCTACTATTTTACTGATAGCTAGGGGGAGGAGATAGATTCATACTTTTTCTAAGGATATTTGCACATAAGTGATTATAAAAAACCCAAACTGGAATTAGAAATTAGCTTTCCAATTTCTCTTTCTGAGCTACTATCCATTACACCATCCACACACCCACAAAATAAATATTGGTAAAAAGATTGTAGTAATTGACAATTTTTCATCAAAGAGATTTGAATCATGACACGTTGTGAAATCTCTCTTTGATCCAATGATAATTGGTGACAACAGCATTTCAGAAAATAATGGTATTATCCATATCTGTTTAAATCTATTATGTTTCTATCTTCCAGAGAGAGTATCTGTACCTCATGTCTAATCATCTTTTTACAGCTTTAGATAGCTGAGTTGTCTGTTTCTGAGACTGGTTGCCAACCATGGATAGAGAGCCTGTTCAGCTATTTAACCCATAATTAAGGGAAGAAGAGATGGATTTATACCTTCCCTGGGGGGATTTATACAAAAGTGAAACATGACCAGAATTTGAACTTGGCTTGTTGATTTCTTATTGAGCTTCTAACCTTTGTGCTACATACACATCCGCAATGATTTAATAATATGATAACATTATTTCTGATCTATACTGCTTATGAAAAATTATAGAAGGGCAATCAGAAAATTGTGAGTAAAAGCAACAGATACAAAGTAGAAGGTAAGACTGATAAAAAATTATAATAACTAACAGTTTCATCTAAGAGATTCGAATAATATGATAACATTATTTCTTATCTATGCCGCGTATGAAAAGTTGTATTAATCAGGAAGTTGCGAGAAATATTAAAAGGAAGGAAATACTGATTTTAAAAAAATGATAGTAGTTGGCAGTGCACTTTTACTACTAAATTTTTATATTTATTTCAATATTTTCTGCTCAAATTATCTGTTTACAGTTCTTTTTATTTCTATTCCTAAATCTTTTTAATAATGAACTTTTGTAGAAATTGCAATGATTTACATATAATAGAAATTACATTTTTGGAATGGTAAGCAGAAAAGTAATTAAAAAATTGACTTTATATTATCTTACATTGTTTCTAGCAAGCATCCAATAGGTCGGTCAGAAATCTTGAGTTTTGCAATGAGGTTCAAGTCACACACATCCACAATCTCCACTGAGCTTCGTTGGGAGAAGTTGCTGTTGGTTTCCAAAAAGTTGTCTGCTTTTTGACTGTAAGATCCATCCAAACTTTCCAAGTCTATACTTGGTATGTTACTTTCATCTACATTAAAAACATCTGATCCGGTTGAGTTTTTTTCTGTGACATTTGTATCACTCTCTGAACTCTCTGACGTGAGTGGTAGAGACAAGCCAACTTGGTAGTTGGAAAATTCCAGACGATATTTTGCCTCATGATCTGCAAAATATTTCTCCAGAGACTTACCTGAATCCACAGGAATTGTACTCCGGAGATTTGGTTTCCTATTAAGGCTTTTTTCTCTTTTAGAATTCTCATCTAGTTTCTTATGCACTTCAGAATTCAAGAATGATTCCTGATTTTTCAATTCGACATAAGGATGATCAATTGCAGAGTTATCTTCCTTATTTAACTTAAATTCTAGTACTGGAATGATACAATCTGCCTTTTGTTTGTTTGGAACATAAACTTCATTCGATTTGCATGAATGCTTAGTTCCCTGGTAGACATATTTAGCAGAATCTGAAGACTCTGAGGAATCAGATTTTTTAAGCTGTTTTCTGACATCCCTTAGTTTTTTGATTTCATGCTCAGTCAAACCATTATGGTTATCATGACAGGCATCTTGAAATAGTGACTCATGGCTTGTTTCTGTTATTATACAACTGTCATTATTTTCTTCATTGCTGTCTTTCATATTCAGAATCTTAGCTAAATTTGTGGCATCTGAAATAGTCTCAATATTATCATTTTTATTTTCTAGCTTATTCCACTGATCCAATGACTCCAGAGATATATTTCCTTGATGGAAAGTTGGCAAATATGGAATTTTTGAGTGATCTTCATCTGCAGCTGGTACACTACAAGACTTGGTATTCTTTACTTTTGGATTATACTGCCAAATTCTTGTATTTAATTCCATGTTTGCCTTGCCTACCATTGAGTCTGAGTTAAGACGCTGAATGTATGGCCTTTGTGTTGTTTTAGAATGTTTTGTCGGAGTCTTATATGGAATGAGTGATTGTGATTCAGAAATTATTGTTGTGGAACTTAAAATGTTTTTAGAATTGTAATACCTATCAGGATTTGAATCTGCCTTAAGGCTTGGGACATCCATAAGCTCTTTATTGCTTAACATATTATTAGATGAGTTAATTGGCTGAGAGAACCTCGTATCCAATTGCTGATCTTTACAGAAGGAATTTTTTTCATGAATGTTTTTGTTGCTAGAATCATTTACAGACGTCTTAAAGGTTTCAATGGGGAAATTCATTATTCTTTCTTTTTCACTAAAACAAGATGGGTTTTCACACAATGAATCTTTTTTTACATTTTCATCCTTTACTGAATTTGTTGAGTCATACTCTGAAGTACAAAACATAGGGTCTTTACCCGCAAGAGATGCTTGCGAGTTTTCATCTTCTACAACACATAAATCCTGATTTGCATGTATGTCTTTAGTGAGAAGAGTTGGATCATCAGTAAGCTTTTTAAGTTGGTTTTGTGCATAGACCTTGTTTATGGGTGATAACTCATCCATGCAAATAGTTAGTCTTCCGTCTTTTAGTTCTTTTTTAAACTCAGAAGAACAATTCAAAGTGTGGTTACTTGCTTGACCATCAGGAGAACCACGAATAGGGGAAAGTGTATGCTGAAAATCTTTCGGTACTATATTGATGTCATCCAAAATGCTGTCAGTTACTTCAGAAAGGCTTGATTCTTGGGACTGATTCTCTATTGAACACCAGTTGGATGATGACAGGTCCAGAGTCTTCCCTTTATAAGACGTTGATACATCACTACTTCTTTCTATGTCTGTATCAGTTCCAGATTTGTTCTTCAGAGGCAGACCCATAATTTCATAAATGATCAAATTGCCATCTCCAGAGCCAACCCAAAGAACATCTCGGTGTGGAAGGAGCCATGTCACTCTTTGCATATTTAGGTGTTCTTCATCCTGGAAATGAAAGCAAAAAAAATTGTAAAATTTGGGAACAATTGTACAAAAATGTATTTGTTTCAATCTTGATATATATGTTTGGCTGGGTGTACATCTGTATATATGTGAATATGTGATAAAATGAAAAAAAGTTTGTCTGAAGTTTTTATGCAAATCATATAAACCTCAACAATTCAAATTTGCTTTGAAAAATTTTTTCCAAATTTTAAATGATTAGTGTAGATGTAAAAACAAATCTTGAGTTCAGTTTTTAAACTGTTTTAACAAGTTTTATTAAAGTTATTGGTTGTATTATAAAAACTGCAGTTTGAAGTTATACAAAAGCAGAAAGTCACATTTTACTTTAATAAAAAGGTAATAAAATCATCAACAATTGATCAACACTTATAATAGAACAAATAACAAACATATATTGAAATTGAATCCTTTACATTTTAATATAGTGACCCTTCTTCTCAATAACAGCCAGCAATCTATTATCCATTGAATTTGTTAAATTTTTTACTTTAACAGGTTCAGTTTCCAACATGGTGCTTTTAAATGTTTCCAGTAGGTTAGCTTTGTTCTTCTATTGTTTGTCACCTTAATATAATTTCATCTACACAACTGACCATTTTGATCAGATTCAGATCACAACTTGATAGTGGCCATTTCATTATCTTCTCTCCTCTAAACCTTTTACACTCAAAAAATTCATGCAACCCAAAAATTTAACTCCTATTTTGTTTGGTGTCTAAATTAGTTATTTAAAATTTGACAAACATTTTTCAAAGCAAATTCAAATTATTGAGGCTTATGTGATTTGCATAATAATTTCAGACAGGCTGTATGTAATGCATTTCATCTTCTAAAATGTCTTTGTCATATTAAAATAATGTTCCTATTGATAGAATTTTATATATATATGTATGTATGTATGTATATATTTACATGTATATATATATATATATATATATATATATATATATATATATATATATATATATATATGGGGTGGAATATAAACATAAATATTAGTTATAATTATGCACAGAGTTAAAACACAAAAGATGTAGTTGGTTTTGTGAGTACAATTTTTGGTATTTCTTTAAGGCATAGGCTACCAGGAATCCCTTCAATGAGTCTAATGGAACATTTTCCAATCAATCCTAGGGCTCCACCTACAACTGGAATTAATGATATCCTGATGTGCCACATTTTAGAGATTTTCACTTCAAGATCCTTGTATTTTGATAATTCTTTGAAGATCTTCAAAGATGAATCACAATTTGCAGGAACAGCTATGTCAATAAGAAAGCATATTCTGTTCTTGTGGTTTTTGATCATGATTATTATTATTTCCTTTGTGTAAAATTGATAAATTTTATTCCATTTTATTATCTTTAAGCATCCATCTGCGAATTTTCCATCCCATTTCAAACAACAATTTCCCATTCCCATAACAACTTATTATCTCTTTTACCACCTGCATTTAATTAAAAATAGGAATTCTGCTCAATAGGGAACTTTTTTTTCAGAGTGATAAGAGCATGATAAATAATGCAATGACTTCCTTTGAAAAGGAGAAACTTTTCTTTTTTTTCATCAAAATAAATTTGGCTTAAAATTACTTGGCAGCTGATTGGAACAGACCTGAGGGACAATGATTTTTTTTTAAAATTCTGTAGCAGATTAAGGCTATGTATTGGATATCGAACAGAAAATTAATTGCATGTGTGCACATGCACATTCACACATTTGTTGGAAGCATTATTTACAATGCATTTCTATTGTAAAATCATTTATAATAGATTTTTAGAGTAGAACACTGCTACAAAATAATAATTATACATATAATACTTCTATTACATCAGTAATGTTTGTGTATATTCCTGACCACTGATAATCTCTTTCTTCCTGATGCATTTTTAACAGGAAACTTATTAGTGATGCATTTACATCATAACTATAATAGTCTTCTTCTGTCGATAATGTTTGCATTTATTCCTGACCACAGGTGATTATTTTTCCCCCGTTTTCAATGCATTTTAATAAAAATAATATTATTTGCAATGAATTTACTTAGTAAAATCATTTGCAATGCATTTACATTATATCTATGATAGTTATATTCTATAAGAAATATTTGCCATTGATAAACTCATTTTTTCTAATTTTTCATACACAACATTTTCTCTTCTTTTTAAATGCTGTATCTCTTCAAGATGTAGGTAATCATAGCTGCCCACATATTCCTTTTCTTTACTATCTTTGAAATGTAATACCATCTTGAGAAAGAAAGTAGAGTGGTTTCTTGTTGTCTTTTCCCTACCCAAGTCTAGAATGCTCATTCTACCCTGTTATTTAGCCCATAGTGGGAAAAGGGTAATAGTGCAAAAGTGAATGCAACAGACTAGGCTAGAATTTGAACTCTGCTCACTGATTTCACTTTCTCTACTAATGGGCATTACACTATGCACAGATCCCATATTGTACTAGATACTGTGTGTTAATTCTTGTTAAAGCAAATTTTAGATAGAAAATTAAAATAATCAGCATTTCATCACAAATTTATTCCTTAACACCAGAAATAGTTTGTGACAGAAAATGATTAAAACAGGTAGTGAAGGAGTAGTGGTAAAACTGTTAGACACAATTATAAAAATTCAAAATTTGTCTATATTTCACACTCATTCAATGCAATCTTCATTCAGGACCTAGGCAATCATAACTCTCCATGACTTTTATTTTAATATAAACTAGCAGCATGGCCCAGCGTTGCCCGTGCTTGATTCAAAAATCGTACGACTCATACAGCAATCGCTATCACTTGACTTAAAATATTTTTGCCCTTCCTTGCCTTTAAAGGAGTGCCCTTTTCTGTGCTGATGTTGCTACATACCTTACTTCTTGCCTATCTCACACTGCGAATTTTTTCTAAGCTCTATACTAAACATCAAATCTGTTACGAAAAAAGAACGAAACAAAATGAACACAAAATGATCAGCTTTAAAAAAAGGACTTGTAACTGGAAGAACTGAATGAAAAAAGAATGTTTACAACAAATACTTTTTCACACCCAACCCAGTTCTGCGGAATCAGAATCAACGTTGAGTTTAAGCAAGCGAATGAGCCAATTGGAGTAAAGTGCCATGCAGATTTAAATTTTTCCCACTTGTGACGAATGCAGATATCGATTTTTTTTGCATGATAGCATGCTAGTTAACATTCACGTCAGTCAGTTGTTGGCTCACACGCTGGCCAATAGAATCTTCCTGCCTATTCATGGCAGCCAGCTATTGGCTCTCACTCTGGCCAGTACAAAATGGCCGCAAACTACATGAAAAGTGCCGTAGAAGCATGAAAAAATCGATTATGTCCACTATCGATGGGAGTTGGGAAATGCAAAGTCAGTCTTGGCCTTCCCACTAACTTGGAGCATGTACATGTAAATTTTGGTGCAAATCCATCGAAAATTGCGGCCGTGCATTTGTTACACACACACACACACACACACACATCCTGCCTTTTATAGATAGAGATAAACTGTACATTATTATGATAGTGAAATAATTTCCTATTGCCTTCTTCAGGCTTTTAAATTCAGTGTTATCCTGGTCTTAGACTGGTTGCAAGCTGTTGTGAAAGAGTTATCTGTCCTGCTATTTAACCCATAGCTGGAGTGGGAAAAGATTGATTTATGCCTAAGTGCATTAATGTGAAGTGAATATAAACTGCACCAGCTGGAATTTGAACTCAACTAATTTCATTTTCTGTACTGTTAACTGTTAATTCTTCTGCATCTTTTGACTATATATATATATATTTGATTATCTTTAAATGAACACTCCTGACCACTTCTTTCCAACCATTTCTCTCATCCATAACTCTATCCAGTTCTTTCTTTCTGCTTCGCATAGAATAAATTGATACATAACTTCTTGTTTACTTCTCCAACAAAGGCCACTAAATCACGCTTGCCTTTCCAAAATTTGTGTCTGTAATCTTTGCTAGTTTTTCATTTTGTTCTTCATTTGTTGATTTTGATTTTATTCATTAAGAAGACAAAATACACAAAAATAAAGAATAACAGCCACAACCAATTCCATTTCTAACCTTTTTATTCCTATTATTATACCAGTTTACTTATACCATTAAAAGACAACAGTATATATAAGTAATTTTGCAACTGTATTGGGCTTACAAGAGAGTTCTGAAAAGTTCTCAGCCAATCTCGCTTTCAAAAATCTGACTAAATGTCCACATATCAGGTTTTTTGTTTTTTGTTTTCTCTACTTTATTGTTTTTCTAAACTTCACCTGATGACTCTTGTAGTAATTCATTCTTTCAGCCCAGTCCACTTCCCAAGATTTGACCAGATGATAAAATATGTTTTTTATCTTATCTAATATTGCAATTATGGAAATATTCAACAACATTTAATCTCTCCAGACTTAAATAAAAAAGAAAACTAACAAAATTCTTATACATCTTATCTCTCTCTCTCTCTCTCTCTCTCTCTCTCTCTCTCTATCTATCTATCTATCTATCTATCTTATCATTTATGAGTTGATTGATGAAAATTCTTGCTAGTTTAATTCTTGATCTGTGGATCCCACAGAATAAGCATAACTTCTTGTTTACTTCAGCAATGGCCACTAAACTACACAATTGCATTTCACAGACTGTGTCCATAATCTTTGTTCATATTGTTCTTTATTGGTCATATGTTGTTTCCAGATGACATTTAGCTGTGCTCTTAATAGTCAAGTGTATATACCACCTAGTTGTTTTGCCAGTGATTTTGTTAATGTCCAACTATTTAACCCATATAAGTAGACTGTTTTTATTGTTAACCTAAAAAGTTACACTTTCAAACTTTTTTTTTCATTTTTGACTTCCAGATGGTTTTCATTTTTGACAGTGCTGCTCATGCCTTAGTAAATTTTTATGGTAAATTTTTATGGTAAAAAGAAAAAAGAACAACCTTAAAGTTTTCTTTTTTATTGTTAATGATAATGAATATTCTTGTTAATGTTAGGGGGCTGCAAAAGTAGGTATACAGTAAGTATTATGCCAGTATTACCAGTATTGTAATAGTGGTTCTAGCATTCATTTAATTCATTAAAATCATTTTCAATATTCTTATTTTCATAATTTTTATAATGAATTTATTAAGATTTTTATTTTTTAATAAATAATAGTAATAAATGTTTTGCAGGTAAAGAGGAGTCTGTGAATGATGGGTGCAAACAGTTTGAAAATTTGAGGGATTGATATATTATTATTGATATGCTCAATAATCAATACAACCTATTTTGCATGAACCTTTTTTATTACTGTATACCTACTTTTGCATCTCCATGTATATTGGGTTAAAATACATTAAAATAATTTACATTAATAAAATACATAAGCAAATAAAATACATAAATAAAAATACATAATAAAATAAAAAAGAAAATACAAAGAAAATACATAATAAAATACATTAAAATATGTTTATTATTGATATGTTATTATTGATATGCTCAATAATCAATACATGTTTAACATGCACCTTTTTTATTACTGTATACCTACTTTTGCATCTCCATGTATATTGGGTTAAAATACATTAAATGCTGAAATGTAACAAAGATTATTACTTTATTCACCCTGCTTTACCATAAGAATTTGCAGTGTCATTGTAAATGTAATTATAGTGGGTGAAAGTTTTTTCTATTCTGAATTTTTTTAGGTGATGAGTTATCAATATATGCCTTATTTCCAATCAAACTAATGCTCTCATCTTTGATGTTATTATCATAAAATTTCTGCTATTGTTCTCTCCAATTTTCTTAGGTGTCTGTCAATCTGAGTAACTTGCAGGGAATTTCAAACTGAACTCTTTATGAATCTAAGACAAAATATCCCAAGACATAGAAAGTGGAGTGAGAACTATCTATTTTGCAGACTGAATAAAGAATTCAGTTCAAAATTATTTGAAGTTTACCTGGATTGATCATGCACTTGTGGGGCACAATGGCCAATACATCTTGACAATAACAACAAGGATGTGGACATTAGTCCAACTGTAAATAATTAAATATTTTTAAATATATTTAATAACTACTACCTGCTGTGATATCATGGTTTGTGTAAAAATGCTAGTAAAATCAATTTCATATATTAATATTTACACTAAAAGAATACTGGTATTCAAGTAATTTCCCTTTCATGTTTTTTAATCATCTTGTTGGTATAACTTTTGGTATTAGAGTACACCTAGTTTGTGTACTTTTATAGCATACAATGTCTAAAGTAACAGAAATATGTTCTCTATTTACCTCTTGTGGATATGGGTACTGTCCTGTTTTGATGTCATATTTCATTTTACAGGTCATAGATACAGGATCCCAAAGTTCAATAGAAGATGATCCTTTCACGGTGATCCATATTCCATGCTCAGATGATTTCATGCAACGGACCACATCATACGGATTCTTTGAAAGCATAAAGGTGCATACGGAATCCAATGTCCTGTAATACACAAAGATATATTATACAGGCAAGTATATTTTGTTACTTACTGTTATACTCCACTGAAATTAGATCTCTTTCTGATTCACTCTACGTGTCGGATGGATGTGAGCACTAAGAAAGCGAAACTCAAAATAAAAAAGTTGTTTACTGCACAGGGGCTCCGAGAATCACATCTGGTTCACAAAACAAATCCTAGCAATAAAATACACTAACCAATCACAAACATTCCTGCCTAAAAAAAGATCACTCTGGGGACCACCAAATTTGCTTAAAAGAAAGCCCCTTGTAATCAACCAACACAGTAGCAGGCCAAAAGGCCATTTGTTGGCATGCAGACATGTTGCTACTGTCATTTCCATGATCACCTTTTTCATCACCCCATGACGTTACCCAAACTTCACTAATCTCATCTGACTCTTTAAATGCAGAATGTGGCCAACAGGCCAGTTCCGACATTGCTGGGCTCCTGATACCACCACCATGATTTCTAACACCTCAATATCTTTACTATCCAGCTTCAGGCCTCCCTCATTGTCACTACCATGACACCATTCCCTTGATTTGACCAGAATCACCTTCACTATCCATTCCTGGACACGCTTGTCGTCACCACTGTGATCCCATTTTATTGATACCCCATTCAACCAAAATCCAACAGAGACCTTCTACTACCAACTCATTCACCATATCAGCAAAATCAGATTTTTGACTTGTCCCACTTCTTCAAGCTTGCATCTACTGTATCAGCAAAATAAGTGACTTCTCTCAACTCTTCATGCTCACATCCTCTGTATCAGCAAAGTCATGTTCGTAGCTTTGCTAACCACTTGAAGCTGCCTTCATTGCCACCACTATAATCTCATCGACCAAACTGCCAACAGACCTTACCATGAAATAACCAACCTCTGTGACCTCGATTGATCCATCTGCCAACCAAATGTACAAGGCAGTTCAGTTTCAGCATTTTGCCATCACACAACTGCCAGCCTATTTGTCAATTTCAACCATGAAGAAGGGAATACATCAATCTCCATCAACAACACTACACTTGATGTCACTAATCTGCTCCAGACCTATCCTCTGACACCAACCATAACCTCAACCAACCAATCCAAGAAATCAGGTCAACTCCCAGCCCAACCAATGACACCCTTACACCTTATTGCTTTTCTTACCAACAGCAACTGAAGAACCACATATGAACAATTTTGCCACCTTTCAAACAACTATGTATATATTCTGAAATATGATGAATACATACTGTTGAAATTGGAATCCTTGTTTGTTCCTTCCCTTTGCAAGCATATACTCGTTATAACATTACTATAAAAAATACAACCCTGAAATAATGGCAATGTACAAAAGTCCATGTTATTTATGTTTCTTGCAGATTGAAAAACTGAAAACAAGTGCCAACATGTGAAATGATTACAAATCAAGTTTTTGCTGGAAAGCCAAAAAGGTATTATGTAACAAAATGCAAATTAACATTCAAAATAATATTAACAAAATCAAGCACATGTTATTTTTAATCAAATAATGATTACTTAATAGCATGTTTGTAGGTATTACTTCCATTATGCATGTTTTAAATTTGATAAGCCATACCATTCTCTCTCTCTCCTCTCTCTCTCTCTCTCTCTCTCTCTCTATATATATATATATATATATATATATATATATATATATATATATATATATATGTTTAATTAAAAAATTGGGCTGAAACTCCACTTTAAGTTGAAATTCAATTCAGGCCAAAAATTGAGTTCTACAAATCAGAACTCTGTGGAACTTCAAAACCCCATGTCATAAAACCTCTCATGTTAACTCTGATTCCTTGGCATATTGAAGAAATAAAATTCATTTCCTCAATTTACAAAATTTTAGAGATATTTTAAACTGAATTTAAAACAAAAAAATTTAAATTCACAAAGTTTTTGTCTTACTTTACACTCAATATAAATTAAAAGCTTTTAAAATCACTCATTTTTTTCATTTATTTTAACATTTGAATTTTTAACTGTTTCCCCCCCTCATCTGGACATAAATCCCAATGTTGGATGTCCAAGCACCAGATGAAGGGCAGATTTTCAATACATGGATCATCCTGATTCAAAAAAGGTATAATATGTCTATGTAGAGGGGGTTTCAGACATACTGACGGACAGACAGAATTTGCTGTTTCTTTATTTAGATGATTGAAATATAACTGAAAAAAATGAAAACTTAAACATTAATCTTACATCATTTATAGAATTATTTTAAAAAATCTTACATCATAAAAAACACTTTTTAAGCAAAAAAAGAAAAACATGATCTGTATATAAAAAAACTAGATCACTAATAAATCTGCCAAAAATTGAATGTAAAAAAATTCCTGACACTCTGAGTACAGATTCATATAAGTTGAGTGTATATATATATATATATATATATATATATATATATATATATTAGTCATGATTTTATAAAGTTTCTATAACATTCGTAGTTCTGGTTAATAGTACTGTAAGGAAACACTGGAACAAAAGGTTGAGAGACCAGGTTTAATCACACGAAAGACATTTTTGTAAACATTTCACCCCAGGCAAGGCAATAATACCACTAAAATACAGGGGTTTACAGGGAGTGAAAGTGAGAGAAAAGACTGAGTATAGCGAGGAGTGAGGGAAGGACAAAAGATGAACAGGAGATAGAAGATGGTGATTGACATTGCATTTAAATTTTTGAAGATTGTAATTATCTGGGAAGCAAGTAAATGGAAGAGAGTTCCACAAGCGGGAAGTGCGAAAATAGAAACTGTTGGAATAGAGTAAGACCTAGATGCCAGTCTAGTAGCACACTTAAATTCATGTAGTTGGGGCACCAGGGTAAAAAGCTCATTAGAGCAGTTGCCATTAAAATATTTGTAGAAAGGACAGAGGTAAGCCATACCAGGTCAGGATCGATTACATGACAGATACTAGCAGGAGCACCAGACCAGATATGAAAGAAATATTCAATGCATGGACAAATGGTAGATTTGTAAAACATAGATTAATAATACAGTATACATTTTCGATTGAGCCACAGAGGAGCATTTCGATTAGCAAAGTTGATTTTACTGTTTTTAAACTACAATTCTCCATGATTTTCTCTTGTACATTCATATCTGCTCAATGCGTATCCAAATGTAAACAAATGATGTCACACATTATATAGCCTGACATGCTTTTACTGATTAAGCCACAACCGGTAAAAGCATGTCAGGCTATATGACAGTTCCGTATAGGATACAGGTTCAATTCCTGTCGGAGGCCGCATGTTTTTTATGAAAATTTCTTAGACATTCAGGCTGGTAAATGTTGTTAATACTGTTTATTATAAACAGAGCATTTACTTAAATATTTGTATCTATAAAAAGAACATATAAACATAAAAAATGTCTTAAAATAATTGTCAGATATTGTCCATTTCATAATATATATATTGACGTCAACATCTAAGTGGACATTGAAGTCAACATCTGTAGGTGACAGTATGTCATGCTAAATGTTTATATTTATATTTACATTTGCTCTGTTCCTGATATTGAGCACTTTAGTCCATAAATATAGCATACCTTAAAACTGTATTTTATCATTCATATATTTTATCATATATATATATATATATATATAAAACTAGAATGAATCAAATATAAATTCCAATATTTGTAACACGAAATTAAAAGAAGGCTCAATGCAAAAGTAGAGCTGTATTCTTTATTTGTTTATTGAAAATAAATATTATGTATTTATTGAAAATAAAGTGTATATATATATATATATATATATAGAGAGAGAGAGAGAGAGAGAGAGAGAGAGAGAGATAACAATTCTAACTGCATAGCTAATTTGTTCATTAAGAAAAGTATTCATTGAACTTAACTTTTATGAGCTGACCATATATTTCAACCATTTGAAACTGTTATGATTCATTCCTTCTTCATTTTTACAAAAAATCAAAATTAAAGCAGAAACAATGAATTTGACAAAAGATATAAAACCTAAGTAAAAATGAAGCTCAGGTATAATTTAGTGTATTTTAACATTAAGCTGAGCATAAAAGCAGGATTTGTGTGTAACTTCTTGCATTAAATACTAAATAGAATTGATTATAAATCTCTAGAGTCAAATGTCTTATTACTGACATCTGTTATTTAATTCATATTGAAAAGGGGGCAGGTTTCAGAGGTAGCCAATCAGAAGACATGACTAAAAATGATTGACAGCTGGTAGGTTGAGGCTTAAAATTCATCATCTGCAAGTGGAGGAGTCTTTCAGTAATGAAATTGTTATGTGATACTTATTTAAAAACAAAAAAAACACACACACACACACACACACACACACACACACACACACACACACACACACAAAAAAAAAAAAAAAAAAAAAAATTAATTGCCTAATTTATTTGGAAACCATGAACCTTCCAGTTTATAAAAGAAAGAAATCAAGTGATATTTAGTGACAAGGAATTATTAATTGACATCAAGGTCAAAATCTGTGAACATAGGTTCTTTAGATGTTGGTTGTAAAACAGCAGAAATGTAGGTTAACCCTATAAGAGTTCTGGACAACAAGTAAGTTTTATAGTGGAGAGCTATGAGAATGATAGATTTCAAAATCTGTTTCCTGATGTCTCAAGTAAACTTTTTATAAGGAAACAATCATTTCAGTAAACTATGTTTATATAAACAAATAGTATTTTTTATCTCATTCATTTGTAGCTAAGTGCTGATTCATTCAGGGTTACCAGGATGAATTGGTGTACATTTGAAAGATCTTTTCAACTTTATATCTTGGTCAGCCTATGAACTTTTCAGCTGACCTTCGTATATGCATAAGTCTGTGTTGTGTATGTATGACTTATATTAAGTACTTGTGCCATTTATACTCAAGTATATGCACTCACATATACACATAAAAGTTGACTGAGTTTAAAATATGACACTGGAATAAGACATTCCC